GTGTTCGGCGGTTAGGCGATCGAGGGTGCCAACGAACATGGCATCAGCACTCTCTTCGGACATAGTGAGGAAGATGTGTTGAACACGAGGAGCACTACCCACGCCGAGATTGGTGAATTAGAGAAGTAATTTGCAAGTAAGTTGCATGAACAAGTTTTGAAAACCCGTGGTATGGAACCCACGGAGGTTCAAATCGAAGAGAGGCTTATTTTCGGTCACCGGATTGCACGTAGCGCACGCCCGAACAGGGCCCATCCTTCTCGTGAGCTCAAACAATTCTACGTGAACTTTGTATTGGAAGCTTCCTGACACCTTCGACGAGAGAGCGCTTGAGCTACTCGACCTAGGGTCTTGTCTATTGGAACTATGACCTCACGAGACATTGCACGCGCGTATCGATTGCACCGGCGTGCTCTTTCCCCGCGCAAAGCTAGACGTACTCTTACGTTAGTGAACTCTCCTCCTTGTGTTAAGTGAGCTACACTACAATGCCCGTCCGCCACATTGATCAGAACGTTGCGGCCGAGCTCGTGAAAACGGCTCAGGCTATCTGTACGCCAGGTAAGGGGATCCTGGCTGCTGATGAGTCCACTGGAACGATTAAGAAAAGATTCGACGCTGCTGGCATTGACAACACTGAGGCCAACAGAGCTGCCTATAGATCACTTCTATTCACTACTCCGGATGTGGGCAGGTATATATCTGGCTCCATTCTCTACGAGGAAACGCTCTTCCAGAAGGCCCCGGACGGTACTCCTATGGTTGAGCTCCTCCGTAAGGCTGGCATCATCCCTGGCATCAAGGTCGATAAGGGTCTAGTGGCTCTGCATCTATCGGACCAGGAGACTGCTACTCAGGGTCTCGACGGTCTCGCTGAGAGGTGCGCTAAGTACTATCAAGCTGGAGCCAGGTTTGCCAAATGGCGTGCTGTGCTGAAGATCAGTCAAGCTAAGCATCAGCCGTCTCAGCTGTCTATCGACGAGACTGCTCACACCTTGGCCCGTTATGCTTCTATCTGCCAGGAGCATAGGATCGTTCCTATCGTT